CTCTCTCAGCTCCTCGGCAAACCAGGGAGCCAATCGAGATCTACGTCGGGTCAGAGGCCGCAAAGGCACGACTCGGTCCAATGCTGCGGCGGCAGTTGTCTCCCAAGCCGCCGCCTGATTTTCCGCCGAGTCGTGGACCAGATCCTCCGGATATGGCCCAAGCTCCATCAGGAACCTCTCAGGGTCCATCAGTCGCCTGACCCAGAAGTAATCATATTGGTTCCATATTGTGGTATGCACACTAGTGCTCATCTGATTGTTTAGATCAGGGGTCCCCAACCCCCGGTCCATGGACCAGTACCAGGCCAGCAACCGGTCTGCAGAAACAAGCAAAGCCCCATCCGTGGGATACATGCAGCACACAAAACCACGCTCTCCTGTCCGTGGAAAAACCTCTCTCCACGGAACTGGTTCCTGGTGCCCAAAAGATTGGGGACCTCTGGTTTAGATTCTTTCAGGAAGCAAATGTAAGGCTTAGCTCTTTTTTGACAGAAATGGGATAAGGAGCTGACACTCAAGCCAAAAACGGTTGTGATTGGATATTAGGACAAACTTTACTATCTGATAGGGTAGTTGTACCTTGGACTAATTATTCCACCTTGTTGGCCAGAACACTGTAAGTATTAATAAAAGAATTTATGTAGTGAACCTGAATGACGGGAGATTCAGGGCATAACAAAAAAAGGATTTTTTTCATTCAGGGTGCAATCTATGTAATTCACTGCACAATATGTGGTAATAACCACCTTCTCAATAGTCATTTGTATTCATAGCAGAAAGAGCTGTCAGTAGTTGCCAGTCATGATCTAATATCAGAGACATATTTTAGTAAAGAAGACTGGAAAACGTTATTGCTGTCATATCCTGCTTGTGGGTTTCTCTGGGGGTTGTTAGCTGCCTACTTGGACAAAATAGGATGTAGGGCTAGACTGTCTTAGGCTGTGTGTGTGTTTTTAAATGATATTCATGAAGGTTACATTAATCAAGCAGATTTTTCTAATTTGCAAAAACGAAGTGAGATCTTTCCCTTACTTGATGAAGAACTAGGCAATGTTAGTATTAATATGTACTTTTTAAACAAGGCAATTTCAAGAGATATCTGCAGCTCAGTCATAATTTGGAGTTCATAACATCAGTCCTTATTCATGAAAAAAAACTTAAAATATATTGATAATGAGGATAGACAAACACAGGTGTTTCCCTATGGAGAACCCTACCGCATACCTCTTCAAGTGTCTGTCCTCCCCTAAGCTTTGCTTTTCAAAACCTTTGGTGCTTTTTAAAAAACAATTCATACAGTAGAACCATCTGGAAAGTCAAAAGAATTGCAAAGCAATTTTAGGAGAGGCAGGAGTAAAACAGAAGTCTTATGCCATTTTAAAGAGTAACAGATTTGGTACATCATAAACTTTTCTAGATCCATGAACGTTGTGATCATAGTATGTGGGTTAGATTTCAAAATGTCACAAGATTCTTGGTGGTAAATATAGATAGGAGAGTTCTTGGTAGATAGGATTTTCTATCATCTTGCTGTTTCAAAATATGTCCAATTTTCATGCAGATTTTTTCTCAAATCTATATTGTTAAATTATACATCCAATCAACACCCACCCACCCCTTGCTATTTGAATAGTGAGCTATTATGTGTGCTGAATGTCACCTTCTGTGCAGGATTTGATTTTTGCTTCCTTTGTTCCTATAGTTTGCTTAATGATGTAATTAGCATGAATTGCAGTAATAGCAGTATAAATAAGATTGCCAGGGAAAGCTGGTAAAAATCTGAAACCTCACCTGAGAAGTTCTTTTGAGTCCTGCTAAGCCTCAATTATAATTTTTCCTCATTAAAGCTTTTCTTGCAAATAGAAAAACATAATTTGCCATATAATCAGCTTTATTTCAGCAGGTAATGAATTTTTTCTGTTTTCTTTACACTCCTGCTCCCCACCCATTTACTAGCCCTTTCAATGGCTGTTTTTGATTACACTGCCATCTGTGCCTGGGACAATTTGAGTTTATTTATCACATTTGTAGACTGATTCTTTAAAAAGGACTTAGCGTTTTCTGCTTTTTTAAAAAAAATTAGATTTTTTTTATTTGAATCATCAGGAGTGTCCCAGGGGATCAGACCTAAAGCCCCATTCAGAGTGATCAGTCCGTTCTGGGTAGGGAGGGGTAAAGTAGCAGAAACATCTTCAGAGCCGTTATGGCTCCTTGGTGGATAAAGAGATCAACTCCAGCTGTGTAGCTGTGGCCAGGGAGGCTGAGGCCCAGAGTTGTGGTGTGATTTTGGATGCGTTTGAATCATAACTCCTGAGAAAATGGGCCAGGGTTCTCTGGGCTTTTAGTTTGGCCACCTAGTTATTGGACCAAGGATCCTCCTAGGTTTGAAAGCAGCTAAGGAGTTGATCTATGACTGAATGCTTTTGATGGTGTCAGCCTCTTTGAAGGAGAGGTGATATCCCTTCCTTGAAGAAAGCAATAATGCATCCCCTTCTCAAGAGGCCATATTTGAACCCAATGATTTTAAATAACTTCCCTCTTTTAAAGGAAGGTTGTTGAAAAGCCACTTGGTATGCAGTTGATGCAAACTCTGGAGGAAGCAGATTATCTATACTCGGTTGAGTTTCAGGATGGAATTTAATATGGAGACAGACTTGGTTAAGCTTGTAGATTACCTGTGGTAGACTCAGGATGGTGATGGTGCATCCATCCTTGTGCTCCTTGATTTCAAAGCAGCTTTAGGTACTGTTGACTATAGTATCATTTGGGACCAGTTCTAGAGGTTGGGGTACCATTGTATGGTAGGAGTACTATTTTATGATAGTACTCTTATTTCCTTGAGACCAGTTTCAGTCAATGTTGGTTGAGGAGAGGTTGCTCCTTAGGTCCTTCCTTTGTGGGATGCCACAGATTACAACTCTCTATCCTATTTTATTCAATATCTACATGAACTACTAAGCAAGGTCATTTGCTGGTTTGAAACAATAAAGCAATCAACGCTATGGCCACTTTTGGTAATAAATTGAACTGGTGACAACTGATGCTTTCAGATGAAGATTGTGAAGAAAGGTGGTTAACAGCAATACTATCAAAGCAGAGGAAGTCCAAGTTCAAACTACATTTAGCTAAGTTCATTGCTTGACTTTTGGCTGGTCATTTTTTCTCAGCTTAACCCATTTTGTGGCTAGTTAGGATAAAATTAAGTGAGAAAATGCTATGACTTGGTTTCCTGGAGAAAAGACAGGATATATATATCTCTCAACGAATAAATAAAACACTGTTCCATAAAATAGGCACTCATGAATGGCCAGAGAAAATCTTCCACTCAATAACCAGTAGCATTTCCCAGTGTTTTTTTTTACAAGAATTCAGTTGAGGACAAGACAGAATGATTACTGTTGACTGGAAATGGGTGCCCTGGAATAGAGTCAATTCACTGGCTGAGATGTCAGAATTACAAAACCTTAGCTATTTAGATCTTGCCTGAAGATTCATATAAATAATGCAGCAATCTGCTTCACAGCTGTTCGTAATTGAGACATTGAAAGCAAAAAGGTAATATTCCTCTTCTTTTATCTTTCAGGGGAGTTGTACAGAGCCTCTCTGAGGAAACATCGCTATCCTGCACAGGGCAGCATTGAAATCCATGAGGACACTGAGGTGAATTACTACCTGGATCATGCTTCATGCAGCTTCTGCATCCACAGCACAGGTGCCCACCTATGGCAACTTTAAGACCTGTGGAATTCAACTCCCAAAATAATGGCTGGGGAATTCTGGTAATTGAAGTCCACAGGTTTTAAAGTTGCTAAAGCTGGACATCCTTGATCTAATTGCAATACAATACTGAGATTTTTAGAATGTTTATTTATTCATCATATTTTTATACTACCCATCTCACTTCAATGACTCTTAGGATTTTGCTACGAAACATGCTCCAAAATCTCAGATGTTATAATGCATCAGGGGGGAAATCTTTTGATTCTCAGCAGTCAAAATTGTCTTTGACTCCAAAATTACATTTGCTGGGCTGTTATTTAGCTAACTGCTCTAATCACAAACTTCATCCGTGTACTGGGATTTGATTCTGTTACTGAGAAAACACAGCAGAGAGACATCCATGGCTTTGTTATTTTTAATTTTAAACATTTTATTTATTTATCAACCAATGATATTTATATAGCCATCCATCTCAGAAAAAAGCAATTCTAGGCAGCACACAATAAAAACATTAATGATGGTTACAAATTATCTTTTAATCTGTAGACTTGAGCTTTTTCTAATATGGCAAAATGCACTAGAAAATAATAAATTCCTCTCTGCAATGATCATATTTTCTACCCTGCACTTTCTCTTGGGTGAGAACCCGTGAATAATCTAGGACAGGGGTCCTCAACCTTGGCAACTTTAAGACTTTGCTGGCTGAGGAATTCTGGGAGTTGAAGTCCACAAGTCTTAAAGTTGCCAAGGTTGAGGACCCCTGATCTAGGATATACTGATTCCCGATATCTGAGTTTTGCTCTTTTTCTCATAAATGTAGCTTAAACAGGGTTGCCTTCTCCTCAAATCATTTGGTTTCTTTTTGTTTCCCTCTCCAGGAAGGAAGTCAGTTGCGCAACTGCAGAACACGTGTCCTGATTCTTGTCCTTCATGGGGGCAACATCCTAGATACTGGAACAGGGGAGCCCAGCAGCAAGATGGCTGATGTTAACACCTTCACATCTGTATTTGAAAAAGTGACCCAGGCCCACTTCCCTTCCTCACTCGGCCATATTGTAATCCGACTTGTTTCCTGTCCAGCTGTCTGCTCTGAAGCCTTCTCCCTCATGGCAAAGTGAGTTCTATTCCTTCCTTCTTCATTATCATATTACATATTTCAGTGAACTAGTGCAGGGCTTTTCAACCTGTTCACCCATTGTACCACTTTTAGGATATGGCAGTATCCGAGTACCACCAGTCGCCTAGCAAGGTGTCAAAAACTTGATGACCAAAAAAGAAAAAAGTGATAAAGTACAGGTAGTTCTCGACTTACAACAGTTCATTTAGTGACTGTTTGAAGTTACAGTGGCACTGAAAAAAGTGCCCCCCAAGCCACAGCTGAGCAAGACACTGCCTGCCCACCCAGCGGCACTCTTCCTCCTGTCCGAGGTTTTCATTGTTGTGAACATTTCTGTTGAGGATTGGCAGCGGGGGTGGGGTGGGGGGGTGTTTGGTTTTTATTCCCCCTCCCTGGTCTGCTGGGTGGTTGCAGCAGGTTTTGGACACTTCACATGACCCTGGGACACTGTGACCGTCATAAATATGAATCAGCTGCCAAGCATCTGAATGTAAATCACAAGACCCTGGAGATGCTGCAACATTCCAGCTGATCGGTGCTTCTTCTGGGCTCAGCAGAAGCACCACGATCAGTGCTGAGCTCCAGCTAGAGCCTGGCACTGATCCTGGCGCTTCCACTGAACCCTGACAGCCCCGAAGAAGTGCCAATCAGCTGGAAAGCGGCACTGATCCTGGCGCTTCCGCTGAGCCCTGACAGCCCTGCAGCTCCAGCCATCTCTCGCTCAGGCTTGTGTGGTGCTGCCACCCGTTCAGCTCATTCCCCTCCCCCGCTACTTTTCTAGGATGGCCGCGTACCACCTACCAGGTGCCAATGTACCACAGGTGGTACCCGTACCACTGGTTGAAAAGCCCTGAACTAGGAAATAGGCTTTCTCTGACATTTTTTGGGGAAGGAAATGAGATATACCTTTTGGTAAACTATTCTTCCTCCATGCGTATTTCCACCTGAGAAGTGGGGATAAGAACAGCTTGCCTTGTTAGCTACTATTGTGGAAGAAGTACAAATTGTGAAGCATTGCTGGATTAGAAATGACAGATTGATAAACAGAAGAAATAGCAACAGTACTAAATAGTGACATTGTATATAAATGGGAATGTAAGAAAAATTCTGTTTTCAACTGTGGCCACAGGTGGCTCAGGCTGTATTGGTTTATTCTTTTTTTTTAGTGCCTCCGGCTTTCTGAGATTCCTACAGGGAATTTTTTCAGCATAGTTACATGTATCACAAACTATGAGCTGAGCTTTTGAAACAAAACATAAACCTCTGTAAAATAAAATACCACTGCTGAGAATAAAATTGCTGAATACCGTACTTCTGAGATTGGTTTAGGCTAGGGGTAGTCAACCTTGGCTCTTTTATGACTCGTGGACTTCAATTCCCAGAATTCCTCAGCCAACTTAGCTGGCTCAGGAATTCTGGGAATTGAAGTCCACGAGTCATAAAAGAGCCAAGGTTGACTAGCCCTGGTTTAGGCAATATTTATTTTGTTCTGTGGGAAACTTAAAAAAACCAACCTTCTTAACATAAAGCCACCAGGTAGGAATGGTGGGGACAGTCCAAGGGATTGATATACACTGATAAATCCTTTCCAGAGAAAAGGAGGAACTTAGCAAAGGATTCAGTTCTATTTCATCTGGAGCAGTGGTTCTCAACCTTTTTAATGCCACGACCCCCAACTGGTCGTAAGTCGAGGACTAAACCGGTCGTACGTCGAGGACTAAACCGGTCGTAAGTTGAGGACTACCCAACCGGTCGTAAGTCGAGGACTTTCCCTGCCCGGGAGCACCGCGCATGCGTGGTTCCGCCCCCTGCACCGGCCGAGGCATAGCTGGCAAGCGGCAGAGACGGAGCAGGCCGACCACCAGCTGGCCCAGCTCAAGGGAAGTAAGGCACCCACCGGAAAAGGGGGAAAAAATGGCGGTCAGCCTTGTTTGGCGACCCCCGTGAAATGGTCGATCGACCCCAAATGGGGTCGCGACCCATAGGTTGAGAACTGCTGATCTGGAGTGTCAGATCATCTGGGAACAGAAACACTGAGCTTTTCAGCCTCTTGTTCTTGAATGTGCTTTGTGCCCCCCCCTCTCTCTTTAAAAACCCCATGTGTGTGCTTTCAACAAAAAAGCAAGAACATGGGAGAAACTTAAAGTACAGGAATAATTCTTGGAACTACACATTAATTGATTCATGTTACATCCTTATATCTGATCATTTTAAATACTAACCCATATTTTGGATGGAATCCCCTTTTCTTGTGGGGGGTCCCTTTGCTCCCTCTTCCTCCCATAAAAGACTCAGTTTAAATCAGGATTTTCACTTCCCCTCCAAGGGGAAAATATGGAAGCAAAGTTCTTCAGCTCTTTGGAACAGGGAGAGCCAAATGCCTCTTTCTAATTGCAAAAGAATCTCTTCCATTGTCTTCCTTGGGGGTAAGAGTATTCTAACTTCAGCTCGCCAAAGGGGATCCAAAGACCTCAGCTAATTAGTAGTTTAGCATAGATTCTTCCCTCTCCCTCTTTTTCAGAGATAGAATGAGGAGCATACATCATGGAGATGGAAAACAATTGGAATTGGTACCCAGTTCTCAGAATGCTCCTCCAACATCTGTAAATCTAAACATTCAGAAGAATTTTTTTCTTCTTATTCTTACCATACCAAGCCTGGCAGATAAAACTGTTCTGGGGATAAACATAGGGGAGATTTCCCCATATGGCAACTTGTGCCCTCAAAGAAAAGGTGGATAAGTACGCATTAAGGTATTAGCTCTCAAAGATTGCACGTTGCACAATAAGCTCCCAGAAATGAGACATCTATCTATATAAACAAAAATGTAAATGTTCGTTTGTTCAAAATCTTAAATCTCCGAACGTTCTTCACCGATTGCTTTGAAATTTTGACACAACGTTGCATTCGAATACGCGCGTGTTTTTATATACAGTACCTACTATTATATAGATGTCACACCTGTGACAGGTAAAAACATGCTTTTTTTGAAAAACAGCACCATCTGTTGGACGTAAAAGCATACCCACAAGCATTGTGAAATTAAACATATTACAAATGTGCGCTTTCTCTTTTCTTTCTTTTCCATTTAACCAGACTGAGCCACAGCAACGCGTGGCCGGGCACAGCTAGTATGTAATAAAACCCTATAGCCGTAGAAATGACATTTATGGCCATCTTTCTGTATCTTGGATAATTATAGACAATCTCTTCTTTGGCATGCAGATTTTTAAAGTTACTTTACGTGCTATAGCAAGAATGGATCATGTTTCCACCAAGATATTTGCTTATGTACCTATTGCCAACTTACCAATTGAACTCTATGAAAGCAGAATAATAAACTCATGAGGGAAGCATGGAAATGTGTTAATTGTTCAGAAAAAAAGCTAAAGGAGGGAGACTGATGGCCCCATGAATGCAGGGGGCTAAAGAATTAGTCAAGTGCCCTCTCCCTGCTGATTTTCAGGAAAGCTGAGGACATCAGTGATTCTCAGCAGGAGGAAGAAAATCTCTTGCTGATTAATTCCTTGCATGCTGAACGGCCTACAACCCAGATATTATAAGTGGTTGTACTTGAAAATTGAAACATTTTGTTTCTTTGCCGGGCAATAAATATTTCCTCCTACTTTGGTTCATATGAAAGTTCTGCTGATTAAATATATAAAATGTCAGATATAATTAGAATCTTTCAAACAATTAGTGTGTTGGTTTTTGCATCAACTACGAAACGAATTCAGAAGCAGAATGAAAACTTTCTATTCTCCTACCTTCACTTCATTAGTTACAACAGTATAATTGGCACTAAGTGAGCTGGCTCCTCTGTCAAAATATAGCTCCTGCCCTAATTGCTGTTTTCTTCTGTGTCTTTGGAGACATTAATTTAGTTAAACAGCATTGTAAATAATTAGCTTTCATCGTGTCATTCTGGAGATCCTCTGTGTTCAGAGATTGTAAAGTGGTCAGTATTACTGGTATGTCCCAGGTCAGTTTGACCAAAGGCCTAGAGAAAATGATGCTCTGCTATTTTCAGAGGTGAGAGACAGCATTTATATTCTGAAAACTATAAGGCTGCGGTCAACTGGAATTGAACCAAAACTGCTTCTTCTGTTTTTGTCCGTTTCATTGGCACTGTCTTTCTCTTACATTTGCCTTTCAATCTTGCTTTGCTTGCATTCATCAGCATCATGTAGTCAGATTCATTTTGTTGTTTATCTCTGTGACATCACCTGGTGACTATTCCAGGAGTGGGGGGGAAGGAATAGGAGAAGGAAGAATTGATCCTGCACCAGCTAACACAGAGATAATTAACAGGATGTTGAACGAAACAAAACCACCTTTCTCTCCTTTGAAAAATTAATGTTCATTCTTCAGTTAAAACGAGACAATCTTCAGCATAGCTATGCTATACATATAATTAAAGTGAGCAGATTGCCTTGAATGGGGAGTATCATCAGAGGAAGGTTCTTAGATAAGGAGGCTCACAAGTTCCCAGACTATATATAAATTTAATAAATTACTATTGCTGTTGTTATATTCCCTTACATTTGGAAACACTATCCAGGTTAAATGGAAACTTCGGTCCAACCTTCCTGGAGTATGTCAGATTGAAAAGAGCTATTAGGCTTGGAATTTCTTTGAATCTTTCTGTCTTTAAGCCTCTGTCATTTACATGTTGAATATTCAGGAAAGGAAAGGAATCTCTGCAGTTTTTAACTTTGCTAGTTGTCAACTGCAGAGCGCGGTTGCTCATCTCCATGTCAAGGCCATGAGCCGGTGCTGTCTGAATACGTTTCCACAGTCATGTGGCCAGCATCACATTGCGGAGGACTGTTTTTTCCTCACCAAAGTGGTATCTATTTATCTGTTCATATTTGCATGCTTTCGAACTACCGGGAGGGCAGGAACTAGACGGGTGCTCACCTGTTATGCCACATTCGGGTCTTAAACCTGGGCTTGCTAGCTGACAAGCCCAGCGTCTTAACTGCTGGATCATCACACCACCCCATTGGATATTTAGAGCCAAAATAATTTCCAGACTATCCCAGAGTTCTTTTTTGCTGTTTTCCAAAGAAAAATGGGCTTCCAAGAGGAGATAGCATAGACTGTGCTCCAACAAAAGCCAAGGACTCTGTTTCTAACATTAGTCAGTTCAGTGTCTTTGCCCATCTTCTCTTATTTATTAGTGTAACGCAGTCAGATTTTCCAAAGATTGCTTCTGAATCTTCTAACTTAGCTTTTGTGCATAGATGTTCATAGGTCAGTTTCTTCTCTGTGTGTGTTTGAGGAAGCCCCTTTTCAAAACTCCCTAAATTAGTGTTTCTCGCCACATCTTAAGCAGTAGATGTGTGTGTTCATTTAACCCTGCAGAGTTAAATTTGGGAACATCTGCTCCAGCCCTGAAACGTCTTCCTGGAAAGCCTGGCTGATGTCTTGCACAGTTTCTCTGATGAAGTAAAACAGTGGATTTGAATGTGCTCCTAACTGAGTCATTTCCCTTGTGAGTTGGCATAATATAATCAGGTGGAAAAAAGAAAACTACTTTGCAACTTTGGCCATTCTTTTGCAGCACGGAAGAGGGAAGTCTGGGCCTGATGCTGCAGGTCCCATCAACAGAGTTCTTCTTTCCCTTTTCTCCCTACCTGTAGTCATAAGGCATTCATAGATCCTGTATCCTCTTGAACCCATCATATCCTTGGATGCTTGCTCTAGTTTTCATTCCCTTTCCTTCCTGCTGGCACACCTTTCCTTCTGCCTCCTACCAGGCCTTTACATTTCAAGGCAGCCCTTGGTTATTTCAGAATAAGGATGGAAATGCTACTTTTGACCCCAGAAGAGCAGAGGACAAATTAAGGCTCTTACTTGTAGACTGGGGACAAAATGAAGATAACATTGAGGGGGCACAAATAACAATGGTCAGGTAATGATTGTGCTGTGGCTCAGTGCAACTGAGAAGATCTTGGTTGAATTGGAATAGCCTTCCCAGAATGGCAGTTTTTGATGGTCTTGCGACTGCAACGCTCACATTTCCAGCCCATTTCTGATTAAGTGGAGTTAGGTTAGAACCCGTATTTGGGAAGGAGTGTTATTGCTGGGAAGGGCTGTATTTTTCCCACTTTACAATGTCTACCTGGAAGTCTAATTGCTAATTATTAACCTGTTTAATAGACCAAATACGTTTTAAATAATGTAGTTGTCCACCAAAACTTTGCAGGGTTTTGAGCTACTGCCTGGTCATCGTTACTGTAGGGATATTTTGCTTCTTGATAGATCTCAGTGAGCTAGATTTCAACTGGTACATGCCTTGAACTACAGATGATATCTGAAAGTCCACTAATCATTGAGAGATTATCAGAATTACAATACAGACTATCAATTTATTGATAGAAAGCAGCAAAGAGGTTTTGTAGCAGTAATTAAGCTTTGAAGGGAACAATGTCCTACCGACACTGGTTAAGCCCCTTAATTATAGGGAAGAGGAAAGTGAAGCACATGGAGGAAGGACAGAAGACTAAAAGAAGTGGGAGGGAAGCAAAGTAAAATGGAGAAGATAGGAACAGGAAAGCAGCAGGTTTGAAAAAGGTTGGAATGGAGCAAAAAGGGGAAAGCACTAAGAGCTACAGAGTTGAAGAAGGCTGAAATTCACATCGTTTCCTGAAATAAGCAAGCCAATCCGGCATGGTACAATTTTATAATATCTCTCATTTAATATTTAAAATAGTGTGGTGAAAAACAGTGCCCAGTGTTTATGAGCTGGATGGAGTTTGCTTGCACTGTACATTGGACAGAGGATCATTTCCCCTATAAACGTTTGATATGGCTTTTTACTAGTTTCCTTGCTTCGGTCACTCGAGCTCATTTTCTCAATTGTAGCTTTTTATGCGAACCTGTGTCAGCAGCACAGGAGGCAGAGGGTTCCCGACAAGGTGCCTGACCAACTTTGCCTAATCTTGCTGCTCTACATTTTTTGCTTTAGGGGTTCCTGGTCTGAAAGCAGCAATTGATGGCTATTTTTCTGGGCTGTCCTATCTTGTTTTACATCTTCCTTTGAGCTGTAACTTAAAGTTCTTTTCTCGGGCTCTGTAAAACTTTTCCCAAGTTCCAAGCCATGCAGCTGTTGTCTATGTTAGACGGAGAGGAGCAATATGAGTGGCTGAGCTCAAAAGAGCATTTTTCTGGAACCTTTGGCATCCTCTCCAGCTGAAGGCAGCTGATTGTGTACTCTCCAGAGCTTCAAATTGGAATGGGAAGGGATGCAGCTCAGAATCTAGCATCTATTGTATTCAGCAGCTCCCAATTAAAACACAGGACGTAGAATAACAGAGTTGCAAGGGGCCCTGGAGGTCTTCTAGTCCAGCTCAAGCAGGAGACCTATAGCATTTCAGACAGATGGCTGTCTAGTCTCTTCTTAAAAGCCTCCAAGTGACCGAGCATCTACAATTTCTGAGGGCAAGACATTCCACTGGTTAATTGTTTTCACCATTAGGAATATTTTTCCTTAGTTCTAGGTTGCTTCTCTCCTTGATTAGTTCCATCCGTTGCTTCTTGTCTTGCCTTCTGTTACTTTGGAAAATAGGTTGACCCTCCTCCTCTTTGTGGCAGCCCTGAAATATTGGAACACTGCTATCATGTCTCCCCTTGTCCTTCTCTTCATTAATCTAGACATACCCAATTCCTGCAACCTTTCTTCATATGTTTTAGCCTCCAGCCCCCTAATCATCTTTGTTGCTCTTCTCTGCACTCTTTCCAGAGTCTCAACATCTTTTTTATATTGTGGTGACCAAAACTGGATGCAGTATTCTAAGGGGAGCGTCTTACTAAGGCTTTGTAAAGTGGTACTAATAGTACACATGAATTCAATTCAATCCCAGTGTCCAAGATAGAGCTTGGAAACCTTGCAATCTTGTATAGCAGCAGCCAGTCAGCACAGACAGTACTAAGCTAAGCTAAATGGTCTGGAATAGTACAAGGCAGCTTTCTCTATTGCTGTAGACCCTGTTTGGACCACCCAGAAGCCAAATTTATCCTCCACCCTATACAAGTGCTGGGCCACACTGCCTCCTTGTGGCATCTGATTGGTCATTCACAAAGTAAAGGTAATAGAAGAGAGACAGATGTGCTTTTCCGGGGAATAATAGTGAAGCAAAATCTGTAAACTGAACGAAAGAAAAACCTTTAATTCTTGCAAAACTGAGCAGCCTGCGAAATGCTTCTCTTTCTCCTTGACTTTTGCAGGGGAGGGGGGTGGGGTATTCCCAGCCCTCTTTCACAGGGAGCCCTGTCTTACCATGATTGTTGAGAACTGATAGCTCAGTATTTCCATAATGTTGATGTGGGTGCTTCTTAGGGGACCCACATTTTTATTGGTGAGTTTTGCACAGCCATGTGGGCAGGATTGTTCCCATCCTTTTTTCACCTGGAATTTGCTTTGTGCTGACAAGCAGAATGTACAAGATGTGTGAAGAGCAAGGAACAAAAGAATGTACAATTAGCAAGTTTCTTTCACAACTACAGAAACTTCTAAACTGTTCATTTGCCCATGCCTCCATATTCTTTCACCTTTCCCTTTGTGTGTGTATGTGTGTGTGTTATATAACAATGTTTTGTCAAACATTCTTAGCAATTAGTCTCCAAAAATTGTTCACACTAAGAGTAAACATCTTTCCTCCCTAATCATCAGCCTTACATCCCTAAGATGTAATGGCTGACGCAATAATTGCTTCCCTTCTCAATTTACTCAAAGTTGTTGGACTTCACCATCAGGCTTTCACTTTTTTTAAAAAATAAACTTTCTTCTTTAATTACTTTCTTTAACTACTTTCCCCTTATTTAGTGGGGCTGACATTTCTCTTGGAACAGCTGACAATTGAAACCAACTGGAGTGATCATTCCATGAAAAATAGTATGTATTAATGAAAAAAAAACAGACTAACAGTGGCAAACATAAGACCGCAATTAAATTTTACATGCTGTTAAATCAAATGTCTTCCTCTTCCTAATTAAGGCTTTCATCAACTAATGAAAGACTATAATGAGAGTCTCTCCAAACAGTCAGTCCCATGTTTTGGTGCGATCATAAAAAAAGGCTTTCTCTTCTCAAGCTGTACAATGTGGGACCATATCCAAGTTCTGTGTTGGACACTTGCATCGTGATGACATCAAGCTAGTGCTGGAGTTTTTCTGTCAGAAATGCCAGTTCCCTTGAGATCTCAGGAATATGACTTTTCTTCCCCATACCTCTGCACCCAGAGAAATACTTGGGTCTCTGTCCTTCATTTTTAAGCTGGAGAGGCTAACTTCCTGCTGTATTGCCTCCTTCTACCTTGCATTCATCTGAGGATCATGAGCTCCTGACCAACTGTAGGTTAATAGGGCAAAGTGCATTAGGAATATAATGCAAGTTGAGTTTGTGGCATGATAAAATCTTATTCACAGGGGTCAGGATACTGTCCATCTCAACTAGCACCCGGAAGATCCTCTCCATTAGTATGTAAGATGCAGGCAGAATGGTGTGCATGAGTGTAGGCAACCTCTGAAGCAGAAACAGGCAAAGAGACTGTATGTAGACTGCTGGAAAGTTCAAGGCGAGAGACCCAAGGAAACTGTCTGCTCTTTTAGAGGTAATTCCTTCCCTGTCCTAGAGGCCCATAGAGAGAATGGCAGTGATATGGGGGTGTCACGAGAGGATGGGCAACTTACTTGAGTTTGTATTTTTAAAAACAAATAGGTGCTTAACAAACATATTTATGAAAATGTACTATTTTCACACACAAAAAGTAACATTTCTTGTTTCCAGGATATGGATGGTCTTCAAAGTATTTTTGAAGAATTGGACTATTGGGGGTGACTAATGTCAGTTCAGTTGAATGTGTCCTGGTTCATCTTAAATTGCCGTCTCTTTTCTCCATCCTCAATGTAACCAACATTTATAATGCTCCTGCTCTTAATTGTGGATAATTTGCATTGCCGTCCCCTTCTTTTTCTTTAGCCTGAATCCTTACAGTTATGATGAGACATCTCTAAGTAGCAGTGAAGATCACATCCCGCTGGCTGCCTTGCCCTTGTTGGCGATCTCTTCTCCTCAGTACCAGAATGCAGTTGCCATGGTGATCAGCAGAGCCAACCAAGTTTATAATGAATTTCTTGGATCTCCTGATGGGGCAGGCTTTAATGGGCAGGTATGACCACTCTTATTCCTGCTAGAAAATCTAAAAGACATTGTTATATCAGTACCCTGAAACTGATGAAATTTCTTTTCCAAGGAGGTATATACTTCATTCTTTATTTCTTTAATCAGAAAATACTCCACTGCTACTTGTAACAAAATAAGAAATTAAACAATATATCAGGCTCCTAGTCCTTGCACTTTTGCCCCATGTATAATTTGCTTCCTGAAACCTTGGTATTTGAAACAGATGGTATGAAGCTTGTGGACCGATCTAAATGGAAAGGAAATCTATGTTTCAGACAGAGGCCACACTTATTTTTTCCAGTTTCTGAGGGCTACAGAGGCATGGTAGTAAAAGAGTGTGGTCATTTGAAGGAGTCGGGTGGGTTTTTCCTCCTTTCCCCCCCATTTCACTTCTTACAAATATTGGTGCTTGGAAAGCTTCAGGAAATAGGTGTTGTCTCTTAAAAATTTTAACAGGCCTAACTTGCTGCTTAATTGTGAAATTTAAAAAAAGGAAATCTCATGCTACCAAAATTAGTCTACTAGTTAAGGCACTAGGCTAGAAAGTGGGAGACCATGAGTTCAAGTCTTGCCTTAGCCATGAAAGCCAGCTGGGTGACTTTAGCCCAGTCACTCTCAGCCCAACCCATCTCACAGTCTTGTTCTTGGGAGTAGATAGGAAAGGGAAGGAGGTGTGTTGGATACGTTTGCCTCCTTGAGTTGTTCATATAAGTAATGATGGTGGGATACAAATAAAAACATAAAAATAAATAAATATGCTGGCTCAGACTTGGAGAATTCTAGAGACATGTAAACGGGGGATTGATGGACCATTTATAGTTACTCATATTGACGTTTTAAAGTTTATTCTATGTTTATTTCATGTTTCAACCAACCAATAAACCTCAAGTGGAAACTGTAGAAGATGTGATATTGAAAAATAGAGAGAACAGAGGGGGGAAATCAGTTCTTAAAGATAAATAGTTATTTTATGGTCAGATAGATGCAATTCAGGAAATGAGGGTCAGTCTGTTGGAGTGAGTTTTTCAGCATCTCACATTCTTCTTTTAGAGAAGAATGAAGATCATCATCTCTGGAATTCTAACTTAACGATTCCTACAAAAATCATCCATTCTGTTTTCTTACAACATCAGCCATTCCTCCCAAGCCTCACCCTGATGTAACTTTCCTCCCCTCCAATATTCATTCTCAAAAAATGCAATAAAAACCATTTCCATGGAAAAAAATTATTATGTGGAAGAGGAGATAAAATTTAATGAGCGGTCCTGCTAAGAAAGGAGGAAAAAATCTCCTTAACTTTATTCAAAACCCCACAAGGAAGAAAAAAACCCCCATTCTTTCTTTATTCTTCTGTTGTACTAATAAGTAGTGATGTACTTTGCAAAGTGCTGACACTAAATAAAGGCTTAGTAGTTGTGGCCTTTAGATTCTCCTTTTCAAATCATATTGCTTTACATGCCAGACTGGACTGTGGATTTAACTCGTTGAGTTCTCCCAGAATCTTCTGGGGAATTAGAAACAGGAGGATAAATTAGCATAATGGTGTAGTAGAAGCCTGCTTCTTCAGACTTGACCAGGTGGTAAAAAGGTAGACCTGAACCAATACTAAATTCTTTTATAATAAGTAAACAATAGTTGAAGTAGGCATATTTATCTCCAGGGAAGTGGCTTGAAGAATTAACCTTTCCTAAGATTGTCTCATTACTGATTATGCAGAAACTTGCCATATCAGCTTATTTTATTAATACAGCTGATGTAAGTGAATATACACATTGAAAACTAATTATTTCTAGTATGGTAATTACAGGAAATATTGTCTCTCTGTAAGGAGCCATAGCCTATTGTAAGATCCTTCTTATGTTCACGTCTTTGCTGTATGACTGGAAGATTTGTGATCCACCTGTGTCTGGCTTTAGAATCAGTGTTTCTCAACCTTGATAACTTGAAGATGTATGGACTTCAACTCCCAGAATTCTCCAGCCATTATGATGGCTGGGGAATTCTGGGAGTTGAAGTCCATTCATCTTCAAGCTGCCAAGGTTGAGAAACACTATTCTCACCACACACTAGATCAGGGGTAGGCAACCTTGGCTCTTTTATGACTCGTGGACTTCAATTCCCAGAATTCCTGAGCCAGCCATGGAATTCTGGGAGTTGAAGTCCACGAGTCATAAAAGAGCCAAGGTTGCCTACCCCTGCACTAGATGATGCAAAAACATTAGAAGGTTTGCAAGGTACCACCAGGATGCTGTGTGAACCAGGCAATCCTGTGAAGCCATAAAAATAGCCATGAAATAGTTTATTTTGTTAATCATAATATGGTATTTATCTATAGCAACCTAGGGCTCAAAGTGAACTTCTCTAATTGGACCAAATCACAAACTTGGTGCTTCTTCTTGGTCTTCCAGGTGTGCCTTGTGGGGGACTGTGTGGGAGGAATGTTGGGCTTCGATGCCATTTGTTATAGCACGGGACTAGCAGATGAAAGCCAAGTCAGCAGCAGAAGAGGCAGCACCAGCAGTGTTCAGGTATGCAATAGAGAATGTCAGAGAAGGCAACCGCTGCATATTTTATCATCTACAATAGCAGTTTTGCTAACTGGAAAGCTGCAAACTATTTGGAATGCCTTGACAGAGAAATGGTATAAAACTCCTGTGAGCTTACTGTATAAGTGCACTATGCACCAATACAGGTGCATAGCAATCTCGTACAATTGATATGAAGTATGAGCTAGCAGGGTGGGGCAGAAGCCAAAAAAGCCAACGCAATCCTAGGTTGCATAAACCTAGGAATAGAATCAAGATCACTTGAAGTCTCCCATTGGCATCCTTCAGTCTCGAGAGACTATGGTATCGTGCTCAGGAAAGAGGTCCTAAGGCAGCATCTGGTGTGGCTAAAAAGGCCAATTCGAGAATGGCAGTCCCTTCCACACTGAGGGCAGATACAATCTGTCCCCTGTCCAGCCCCCAGATTTCGCTAGTTCCGGGACTGCCTCTTTACCTCAGTCTGCTGCACAAGTGTCTCTTCAAATTGGAGAAGGCCATGCTGCGTTTTTAGCCTCCAGGCTGAACAATCAGAGGTCAAGGATTCCCAGCTGTTAATGTCCATTCCCAAGGCCTTTAGGTCTCTCTTGCAGATATCCTTATATTGCAGCTCAGGTCTCCCTTTGGGGCACTTTCCCTGCACTAGTTCTCCATACAGGAGATCTTTCAGAATTCAACCATCAGCCATTCTCACGACATGCCCAAGCCAGCGTAGATGTCGCTGTTTCAATAGTGTATACATGCTAGAGATTTCAGCACATTCCAGGACTGCGCTATTTGGGACTTTTTCATGCCAGGTGATACTGAGACAGCACATATGAAAAGTGTTCAGCTTTCTCTCCTGCCATACGTGAAGAGTCCAAGACTCTAAGTATCACTTTATAAAACCTTAGTAAGACCACACCTGGAACATTGCATCCAGTTTTGGTCACCACATTATAAAAAAGATGTTGAGACTCTGGAAAGAGTGCAGAATAGAGTAACAAAAATGATTAGGGGCTGGAGGCTAAAACATATGAAAAGTAGTTGCAGGAACTGTATTTGTCTAGTCTAATGAAAAGAAGGACTACGGGTAACATGATAGCAGTGTTCCAATATTTGAGGGGCTGTCTGAAAGAAGAGGAGATCAACCTATATTCCAAAGCACCTTGAAGGCAAGACAAGAAGCAATGGGTGAAAACTAATTAAGGAGAAGACCAACCTAGAACTAAGGAGAAATTTTCTGAGTGTGAGAACGATAAATCAGTGGAACAGTTTGCCTTCAAAAGTTGTGGGTGGTGGCTTTTAAGAAGAGACTGGACTACTTGTCTGAAATGGTAGAGGGTCTCCTGCTTGAGCAGGGGGTTGGATTAGTGACCTCCAACATCCCTTCCAACTATGTTATTCTGGAATCTGTTATTCTGTTATTGTTTTTCCCTCATTGTCCAAAGACCCTAAATTTTGCCACAGATTTATGTTAGTTTTAAAAACTAACTGCATGTGGTTGACTGCAGTAAACTTTGGAAATGAAAATTGTATCAATACTATAGCTCCTTCATGTGTATCATTGTAATAATTTAAAATAAACAGACATATACATATTTTTTTTCTTTTCCTAGGATAAACCTGTTTCAGCTGAAGATTCAAATCTAGAAGACCTCAAGCGCCTCAGCAAAAGTAATATTGATATCTCAGGAATAATGGAGAATGAAGACCCCAGACAACCATTGCCTCGGAAGCAAAGTGACTGCTCTAACTATGACTGTGATAGCATAACAAACCATCATGTTTTCCTATCCAGGTAACTGAAAACCTTGCATGAAGAAAACGTTAGTTCAAGCAAGCAGGAGCAAGACTTAGTGTAAACTAAGCAGTGAGTAGATAATATCTGGTAGACTGTATGGCTTGGGTTTGGTACTTATCTACCGTCTCACTCAGGTTGCTTAAGAGTCCTTTTGAAAAACACACAAGTGAACTCTGGAGCCCCTCCCATGTGTGAGGCACCATGATGAAAGTAGGTTTTCCAATTACTTCTCAGATAGTACATCATAATATTGCAGAGTTTTGTAAATTATACATAAGGCACAAACCTCGTAACCGAGGGAAAAATAGGTGTTAGAAAGTTTATAGATTTTTAGTGCTGATAGTTCTACATTCATAAACTCTAGTTGCTGCCTTTATGTTTATTCATAAACTGAATTTTGTATTTGCAGGTATAAACTCTTCTTTCATTCTCATTTATTTGGGGTAGATTAGATAAAGGAAATCAGTCCTTTCCTTAGGACCGATGTTTTGGAACAAACTGACATCACACACTCACAAAAGTGCACACTCACAAACATAAACAAAAATCTTTTGCCTGCTTCCAAAATAAACAATCCAAAGGCCTCCTAGAAGCTAAATTGTTCTCCTGGTTGGTGAAGGTAAACCTGCTTCTCTCTGCCTCCTGTGTTGAGGTTTTGTCCAGAAATGCACCCATTCCCATTTTTATACATTGGTTCACTTGCCAATATGTTTACAACCCTTAAACATATTAGTCTTTATCTTGTTGATTTCAGCCTCACGTTTATCATCATTGTGGAATGGAGCCATGTTGTTTCACTCTTCTTATTCTCTTTCCCAGCATCCACTCGACGATGCTGAATGAGGATGCAGAGTTTCCCCCAACGAACACTTCAAGCACGTTGGATGTTAATTTGGGGCGATTTGAATTTGAAGTGTCCGATTTCTTCCTCTTTGGTTCACCTCTTGGTTTGGTGCTGGCTATGCGGAGGACAGTCCTGCCCAGTCTGGAAGGTGAATGATGCCCATCAGCTAACAGACAGCTTACTCTTGGCTGCTTTTGGCCAAATTTTTATGTCCCCGAATAGAATGAGGATCAATTTGCTCAGGTTGTCTCAAAAGAGCACAAACTTCTTTGGGCAGAGTTTGTTTTTCTCTGTGCAGAGTATAGGAGGTTTACTGCTATTTTTCTGAAATTATTTTTGAAAAGGGTTTTTTTCCGTAAAAAGTAGTAGATCCAACATCTCAAAATCCACAAATCTTACCAGTTTTCAAAGCAATGAAGGTCCTTCTCATGCTGATGCTTTTCTTCCCACCTTTTCACACTTGTTGAAGACTAGATTTTTATTTAGTGGCAGCTGAGACCATCGCAACCATTGTGTGCAGAATCAAGATTTCTAAAATAGTCCATTTTGTGGATTCTTGTCATTCAAGTCGAATATCTATTTTAAGAGGTCTTTTCAAATGAATAACAAGAATCAATCCATTACCAGTGGAAATTATTCACCAGTGGACCAATATGTGCTTTAAACATTGCAGTTTTATCTGATTTATTAATTAGGTCTGGCAGAGCAGACATTTGGTGTAAAATGCCGGGCTTACTACAGCAATTAATACCATTGGATTGTTTTTTGTTTAGCCCTGGGGAAATTCTAATCTGATTTTCAAAGCACAGTTTCCTATTTAGTTTGCAATAACAGGTTTGATTAGTGATGAAACACAGATAGGCAGGTGCTGGAATTGTCTCTTTGTGAATGTTGAGTAATGATAACTTTGTCTTGCAAAGCAAATCCAGGCTAGGAATAATTTGTTTTTTGAACAAAAAAGAGACATTAGGGAATGATAAAGGTTTTTTTTCAAGGTCTAGTTCATCATGTTTATATATCTTCATTGTTATGAACAATTCCATTTTTATCAGTTTCACAGGATAGATAGGAAACTTGCAAGGTTAATTTTCTTGCTGATTATGTGTTTTTAAAACTTGCTTTTAACAGAGATTCCGCCTTATTCAGGTCTCTTAGCAGTTCCATTTTTAGAAATCCAATATTTTCATTTTGTTATTGTGGAAATGCACAATAATTTATTTAAAAAGAAGACTATAGCACAGGGGTAGTCAACCTTGGCTCTTTTATGACTCGTGGACTTCAACTCCCAGAATTCCTGAGCCAGAATTCTGGGAATTGAAGTCCACGAGTCATAAAAGAGCCAAGGTTGACTACCCCTGCTATAGCATAATAAAGCATGTTGATTAGTTAATATCAGTAGGATATGAGGGTGGTAGAACAATTCCTTTACTCTAAAAAAGAACAGTGGTTCAGAAAGCAATTAATTAAGGTTGTTAAGAACTCTGTAGAAAGAATTACAAGTTTAAACTGTTCAAATGCCTTCCATTTAGACTGCTACAAAGAAAGGGAAGTCACAAGGAGGCCAGAGTCTTATTCCCTTGCCCTAGGACAGGGGTAGGCAACCTTGGCTCATAAAAGAGCCAAGGTTGCCTACCTACCCCTGCTCTAGAAGGTGAACTACCTCTGCAACTGTAAAAAAAAATGCAGATCAAAGAGGAGGAAAAGAAGAATCATACTTTCTACCCATTTTCTCGAAGAATGCACATGGGTTCCTCTCCCCAACCTCACAATTATTATGCTACTATTCTGCAATTGTCTTCTCATTTTTTTACTCAGTTATTTGGGTAAAGAAAAAAAAAGATGGAAGAAGCAAATGCAAAATACAGAAAGACTGGAGCTAAACTGGTTGTTATCTCTACAAAATTGTATAAAGGGGATATGGTGACTCCATCTTAAAAGTTTGATTAGAAATCTGGTTGAAGTCCTTTCTAGCTAGCTTGTGGGCAGAGAGGAAACAATAGTATGGTTTTTAATTTGTTGGACTGGGATCTGAATGGGACCGTTATGTGTTTTCTGAATTGCAATATAACGTACAGGCCATTCCAGTATTTTGAAGAGGAAGCATTGATATAAATAAATAACTATATAAAGGTACAATAAATGTAAAGTCTCCTTATTCAAATAAAGTATGGAATTTCTATTTGATAGGTGTTTTAAATACCACACCCACCAAATTGTATCCATTGTACAATCTAGCATATCAGGAGGTGGCTTGTTTGGGTATACTGGGCCTGATTTAAAGGATTTTTTTAAAAAACAAATCTTAAGAAAATATTTGATTCAATGATGGCTTGCTAAAGTGATTGAATGCAAAAGGTATTTTTTTTTAAAAAAAACACCCAACTAATTGCTTTGTTTACAGAATCCTCTTTACCAGAAGAAAGTACTGTATTCATTAACATATATTTGCTTAAAATGTGGGATGGGTTGGAAGGCAGAAGGCAGGATGTAGCTCAGAACTGACCCTGTTGTTTCCAAAGTACTTGACTCTTCCATGGGAATTTTATCCCTTTGGAAATTCAATGACAAGTCTGTAACTCCTTGTATTTTCTTTTTGTACTCTGTACTCTGAAGATACATTTAAACAGTTCATATTGACTGTGAGTCATCCTTTCTCCCTGTGTCTAGTCTGCCAAGTACATCCAGCCTGCAGCCAAGTTTACAGCCTCTTCCACTCAGCTGACCCCTCTGCCTCCAGACTGGAGCCATTATTAGAGAATAAATTCCATCTTCTGCCTCCCTGTACTGTACCAAGGTACCAGAGATACCCCTTAGGAGATGGAAGATCCCACCTCTTAGGTATTTATGTCTTTGGCTTGTACAATTCACAACCTGCTGTAATCATGTAGCCTGTCTTCCAAATACTTCCGCATGCCTCAGCCGTCTAGACAATTATATAAAATGATCTTTACAGAGATGAATGAATAATAACTCTCTGCCAAGAATCAGCTTATGCTGTCTGTGGAATTTCAGGGCACTCTCTCATGGTTTGCCCAGAACATGACACCATAGTGTTTTTTTCAATCCATGCACCCTTATCATCCAAGTTCGCCTCTAGACAACATACAGCACATACATACATATTAGAAACTCATTGTCTTTCAGATGTGGACTTTAATTCCCATAATACCCTGGTTATTAGGATCTGAGATGAGCTTTTCCCTTTACTTGCAGCTCCTGTATTTCACCAAGATTGTGTTTCATGTATCCCAAAATTATGATACCAAAGTCCACTTGTTATTGTTTTAACAAGGAAATTAATGTTTCATACTCCGTATTAATTGGCTTGCCTTTCTGAATGTGTGGTTCTTCTTTCCTGGGTTTGCTCATATAATATCTATGCCATAAATGGCTGAAATATCAAATAGGATAGGGGGAAATTACCTAAATGGCTTCATAGAGCTTAGTAGTCCTTCTGTGCCCAAATCCTTATCCGGATCAATACATCTGGTACCATATTTTTAAGAAATTTTACTTGCAAAAAAAATATTTCTCCCTTATCTGATTCGGCTCTTTCTCACCTTGCAGCTGATACACTCCAGTACCATAGCAGCCTGTTTGTTGAAGATAGTTGTGCAAAGTCACCCTTCATGCAAGAGACTTTGGCACTTCCAAATGCTGTACAAGGGAAAGTGCGAAGAGGGAGTCTGGGCAGCAGCAACAGTGAGAGCTCTGGCTCAACGGAGAGCCTATTGTCCAGCAACATAGCAAACAGTGAGTGCAATTAGTTTTAACACTAGAAAGCCATTTTGGGCTAGTAGTTATTGGTAGCTTTCTCCTTGTGAAGTCCTGCCTGCTTTGGGTTGGCTTACTGTTGGCAATTTGATGGAATAACTCAAGAAAAGCCTTTGTCAACAGCTACACTTAGCATTTGCCCCTGGACCTCCCTTCTGAGGAGTTCACTCTGCTCCCCTCCCCCCTGGCTGATGTTATTCTCAGATAGGATCTGGGGAGCTTCTATGACAGTGGTTCTCAATCTGTGGGTCGGGACCCCATTTGGGGTCGATCGACCATTTCATGGGGGTCGCCAAGCAAGGCTGTCCGCCATTTTTTTTGTCCGCCATTTTTTTTTGTCCGCCATTTTTTCCCCCTTTTCCGGCGGGTGCCTTACCTCCCTTGGGCCGGGCCAGCTGGTGGTCGGCCTGCTCCATCTCTGCCGCTTGCCAGCTACGCCTCGGCCGGCGCAGGGGGCGGAACCACGCATGTGCGGCGCTCCCGGGCAGGGAAAGTCCTCGACTTACGACCGGTTGGGTAGTCTTCGACTTACGACCAGTTTAGTCCTCAACTTACGACCGGTTTAGTCCTCGACGTACGACCGGTTTAGTCCTCGACTTACGACCGGTTGGGGTCGCAGCATTAAAAAGGTTGAGAACCACTGTTCTATGATGTGGAATAGACACATGAAATGCCTGTTTGTTTTCCACAGTAACTTCCAAATGGTGGGGAGCCAAGCGAATAGATTACGTTTTGTACTGTCCAGATGTCCTCACAGCCTTTCCTACGGTGGCTTTGCCACATCTCTTCCATGCCAGCTACTGGGAATCAACAGACGTGGTTGCTTTCATTCTGAGACAGGTAACAATGTCTTCCTTGCGTGCTCTCCCTCTTTCTAGATCTGTGGATCACAAATAACAATTCACATCTTGGCCACAAAACTGAATTGATGGCCTTGCGGGAAATCCCAGCCTCATTTACCTTATGCAGTTGCTGCATAGATAAAATTGGCAAGCCACACGTTCAGCGTAAGAGAAGGTGCAAATGCAGTTAAACTAATGAAATGCCAAAAAGATTTATGCAAATTTCCCCCGTAGATAAGAACTTCTTGCAAGCAGTAAGCTTTTGTTCTATACCTGTGGCCTACGGAGGTTCATTTATGCCATTATTTTGAACTTATTTGGCAGAATGGCTATGCTGAGTGCAGTTCCCCTGTTTATGTTTCATTTCAGGTGATGAGGTTTGAAACCATCAATGTCAAGGAAAGCAACAGTTTGGATCCGGAGACTCTCAGTCCTTCAAATCCCCGAGAGAAATGGCTGCGCAAAAGAACCCAAGTCAAGCTAAGGGTACAGGATTGGCTTTCATCCAATCCCTCTATATGTTAGCATTTTTCAAAGGAACCAAAGCCATTTTAAACCAGTTTTTCAAATAAAAAAAACAAGAGCAGCAGTGGTCGCTCCATCAAAATGGGTGATGCATTGCAGATTTGGTTTGATTTATTACTGCTTGATATTTTAGACAGGGCTGCCTATGGGTTATATCTTTTTAATTGCTTTTATTATTTTGTATTTGTATTTGTCCAACTAGTCTATGGGAGTAGAGGGCTATAATAAATTTTAATAACAACAACAGCAGTTGGTGCAGCATTTGAAAGACAGGAAGTGACGAAAGTACTTTTTGTGGTTTTTCAAAGGTGGAATATATGGCAAGAAAGCCAGAAGGGTTTCTGATCAACCTGTCTTGTTTAAAATATAAAAGCAGCAGTCAAAGCCTGAAATTGGTGCATATAAACCTCAGTGGAATTTTATTTTATTTTTTCAAAGAACTAGATTAAGGAAAGAGGTCCAGTTAGATGTAGTGATTAAGGCACAAGGCTAGCCATGAGACCATCAATTTGTCCCAACTTAGGCAAAAAGCTAACTGAGTATCCTTGGACTAATCACTCTTAGTCCTAGGAAGCAGGCAATGGCAAACCACTTCCAAAATCTTGCCAAATTGCAGGAACCTGTCTAAAAGTCAGCATTGACACAAATGCACCTATATAGAGTTAAGGAAAAGATCAAGAAGGTTCATCCACATATCAACATGTAAGGGTTGAGTTGTTTCTCCTAATCTTAAAGGGTCTGTTCTTTCATATGTTCAAAAACAAGTATCTTTTTTCTAGGTTGGGTAGTGGTTGGGATGATCCAATTGTTTCATTCCCTTCCTTGTTTCTTTTTCAGAATGTAACTTCAAACCACAGATCAAATGATATCATTGCTGCAGAAGATGGCCCTCAGTTGCTAGTTGGCCGGTTCATGTATGGACCACTTGACATGGTGGCTTTAACAGGAGAAAAGGTAACATTCCAAGGCCATCCTTCCCTCTCTCCCTCCTTCCCGGTAAGCCTAAGCCATTGAAGACATGTAAGCCCCCAAGAACATGAGAAGAGCCTTGTCAGACCATAAGCCCTTCTATAGTCCTGCATTCTCATATCAGCTGGCCATATTTCAAACTTATAAACTAGGTATGAGTTCAATACCTCCTCTCTATTACTGCTTCTGATCCCATGGCCTGCAGTTTTCTGCAGACAAGATTTCTATAGCTTTTAATTATGCCCTTCCCTGTATGAGAGGATGCTTGTAGGATCATTGAGTAAGATCATTGTTTTTTGTGCCCACAGTTGTCAACTCTGTTCAGAAACATTCCACAGAGTTTCAGGTAGCAAAGTATTTATTTCATTTAATCTACTGTCGGAAATATTTTAGTTAAAGGTGCTAGAGGGTGAATCTCACACATGAAGTATGTATTCTAGAATTATAGGAGGGACCAAGCTCATGCCCTACTCATTGCTAGAACTGCAACACCTTCAACTGCTGATTCAAATTTTTGTTCTGTTTTTTATGACATAGTCCTACAGATATTTGAACATTACTATTATTTTCCCTTTATTGTTTCTTCTTCAGGATAAACATGCTGTGTTCTTTCCGCTATTTCTCATTGGATTTTGGTTTCAAAGCCCCTCACCATCTGGATTGTCCTCATCTGGCATTGTCTTTCTTAAAATGTGGCACCTAGAATTGGACACATGCTTTAGCTGCAGACTGAACAGTACAGAGCAGCGAGCTTTTCTTGTACTTCTATTAAAACCGACTAAAATCGTCAGTGATGTTATGCTGCTGAAATAGCTACTAATCCTCAAAGCTTTTGCCATAATCAATGTTTTAGGCTTTAAGATGCTGCAAAGCTAGTTTTTTTGTGAGAGACTAATGTGATATCCCTCATGAACTTTGATGTTAACTGTGTATGTGTGTAGAGAGGAATTTGTTTGCCTAACCTGAACTTCTCTATTACTGCATTTTAATTCCACAAAAGAATTTTACCACATGTTCTCTTTCGTCTTTCAGGTTGACATCTTTATCATAACCGAACCTTCCTCTGGACGCTGGGTCTATTTTGATACAGAAATCACCAATAGTAGTGGTAGAATCTCATACAACGTCCCCAAAGACAAAAGACTTGCTGTTGGTGTCTATCCTATTAAAATGGTGGTCAGGTAAGTCTGGAAGGATATAAATACATCCTTAAATTATTGACAGACTGAGGACTATGTCCTACTCTCATAAAATATTAATCAAATTCTAGAGTTAAGAGTTTCTTACAATACAGGTGCTTGAGGTTGGGGGAATTATTTATCATGAATGAAGGCGAATAAACGTGTCCCAGGATAATGTTGCTGGATCCAATCTGGGTCGGTCACCGGGACCAGAGGTTTTTGTCTTCTGAGTTTTTGGACACATGCTGAAGCCCATCTTCAGGGAACTTCTCTCTTAGCAGAGGGTGTGTTTTGGGCTGTTCTGTGTGTGTGGTATTTATATGGTGCCTATTGTATGTGGCTTTTTAGATGTTCCCCGAGGATGGGCTCCAGCATGAGTCCAAAAGCTCAGAAGACTAAAACCTCTGGTCCCGATGACTGACCCAGATTGGATCCTGCGGAATTATTTATTTTCAACCACAATATGCTTATTTTAGGGATCATGCTCCAATTTTCATCTGTTTTCGTACCATACCATAATCATAGCAGGAAGCCTTGGCATCCAGTTTTACTGCTATATGGTCCAAGAGCTGCAAAAAGGGGATGAAATGGGACTTCTTGTAGCTTTGGGGCCACAATTTGCCCATTGCTGTTGTAATGAATACAGAATTTTTATTACAGTATCTTAGAATACTTATAACTCATTGCTAGTTACTGTTATAAAGATAAACATCACCACGAGCCACAGAAAGCTAGAATTTTGCAATTGAAATTTGGTAATAAAAAATTCCTTTGGTATGCATGTCCTCGGGCTGATTCACTGGCGGAATGAACACATTGATAGATCACTGCGATCTGATATAGTCCATAGGGATGTCTCTCTCTTACAGCTGTTCCCCAACGATGGGACATGCAAATTTATGGGACCACAAAGGAAGATATGCTTGGATATTCTTCCTCTCTACTAAGACCTTTCTTGGAATTTCTGTATCATTTGAGTAAGCTATGACCACTGTCATAACTGAAAGATTTTTTTCTGAAGGTTTTTTCTTCTGATCTCAACATAAGGCCATCTGAATAGATATGATATGGCTTTCTATTATAATATGTTTTCTGTGTTCCTTCATGGTCATCAGGGGAGATCAGAGTAATGCCATAAGCTACTTGACGGTCCTTCCTCGCGGAATGGAGTGTGTCGTCTTCAGCATTGATGGGTCCTTCGCTGCCAGCGTCTCCATTATGGGCAGTGACCCTAAAGTCAGAGCCGGAGCAGTTGATGTTGTCAGGTAAAGAGCACCTCACAATTCTATTAAGTTTTAAATTTTGTTTATTTTATTAAATTGATTATAGCCACCTGTTCCAGCAGATTCTGGGTCACCTATAAAACAATTCTAAATTAAAACAAGCCAGCTAAAACAACCATTATAAAACAGCATTACAATGCACACCCCGCCCAGCACATTAACATCAGTCAGGTTTTAAGGACTTTTCAGAACAGCAAGAGACAGGGGGTGTCTGTATCTGGGGAGGGGGGGGATGTTGTTCCAGAGAGAGAAGGCACACTTCCTTGGTCCCACAAGATGGCAGCCTTTAATAGAAGGGACCTGGAGTGCACCCACTCAGCCTGAATGTACCAGAGAAAGGTGATCCCTCAGATAACCAAGTCCTATTCCATGTTGGGTTTAAAGCTATCAATCAGCACCTTGAATTGTACCCAGAAGCCAAATGACAGCTAGTGTAGCAGTGGTGATACATGGACACAATGAGAAGTGCCCATTACTACTTGCACGGCTGCATTTTGAACCAGCTTCTGCCTGGTCTTCAAGGGCAGCCCTATGTAGAGTGAAGTACAGTAGTCCAGTCATGAGGTGAGTGACTGCCTGGACTGTCTCCTGGGTGAGGAAAGAGCATGACTAGCACATAAGATATATCTGCGCGAATGCAAATTAGTCAATCCAAGTGGAAATAGCAAATGGCTTCCAGACAGAATCCCCAATTTGCTTTGGAAAGGCAGGCCCTTTTGTCTACCGATAAAGCAGTCAGGTGATAATCATTCCTGAATGAAAATATGCATTGGCATATTCCTATCAGTTGTGCCTTGGAAATATCTGCTTGGAAATACCTTGTTACATTTTCACCACTTGATGGCAGGAGTGCTAGCCAAATATCCCCAGGCAAAACTTCCAGGCTCCATGAAATAGTATTAAACTGTGGAACTTTTTTCTTCAACTTGTATCTGCATTCAGAATTATGTTCCCTTGTCTCCATGATCAACCCCCAAATTCCCCCCCCCCTACATTTCCCTGTGATTCTCCTGCCACCAAGTGGTCAAAACAGGAGTGACGCCACCTGGTGGGAGGAGGGGGAATTTCCTGCCTTTTTTCCCTCTTCAATCCTGTGTTGACTGATAACACAGCTGCGGAGATATTTGTTTAATTTTGTATTTTGACTCTTTTAGAGTGTGCAACCACAACTTGTATGCATTTTCTCTCTCAAATGGCTGGGAACTTTGTTACTGAATTTTGTTCATAGGAGTCAGAGATTACTTCGTGGGGGCACAAAGAAATGGCAAGATCTGCTTAGTCATAAACCATTCCTATGCTAAGCCATAAGCCATGTTTGATAAACCACAATAGTGGTTTCACATTCCAGGCTAAGCCAAAACCAAACAGGTTTCTCAGTGGCGTAAAACAAATTTAAAATCAAAACCTTAAGAATGGTTACAGTAGCAATGAAAACAAATACATAAAACAAGAAGAATTAATAATATTAACAAGTACAGGTATTCCTCGATTTACAACCATTCAGTGACTGTTCGAAGTTACAACAGCACTGAAAAAAGTGACTTATGACATGATCAAAATTTGGACTCTTGGCAACTGGCTCATATTTAGGACGGTTGCAGTGCCCTGGGGTCGAATGATTCCCTGTACCAAGCAAAGTCAATGGGGAAGGCAGATTCACTTAACAACCGTGTTACTAACTTAAGAACTGCAGTGATTCACTTAACAACCATGGCAAGAAAGGTCATAAATTGGGGCAAAACTCACTTAACAACTGTCTTGCTTAGAAACAGAAATTTTGGGCTCAATTGTGGTCGTAAGTCAAGGACTAATGGTAAAAGCAACCAGTAGAAGCCTGTATGGAAAAAAAAGGCCCTGAGGGCCTTTTTAAAGCTTATAAAGATGTTAGGCCCCTCAGAGAAAGTTTAATCAAATCACCACTTGCGGCATTGTAGGCAGATTTCCTCAGATGCTTTCAGTAAGATTGGAGCGTCCTAAAAGGAGTTTTCTCAGATAATCTGGAGTTAAACATCATAAGGCTTTAAAGGCAATAATTTGCATTTTGCCTGGAAACAAATTGGCAGCTAGTGCAATGCTTTAAGTACAGATGTAATATGGTCTCTTAGCATTATTTCCTAGACGCACCTGGCTGCTTAGTTATTTAACAATTAAAACCTCCAGATGCTTAGACACAAAGGCAATGCCACATAGAACACATTAATGTGGTCAGGCCTGAATTTTACCATTGTGTGCACCACACTTTTAAGTCACCCTCTTCCAGAAAGGAGTCACAACCAAAACTTTAAGGCAGTCCTGGTTTTTTTCCCCCTTCAGTCTAGAAATTAGATTTACCCAGAAGCTGCTCTAGACTGCCTACCTGCTCCTTCTGGGAGAATGTAATCCCATTCAGAACAGACAGAAGTATCATCTCTCTGGAATTATGGTCTCCTACAATAAATACTTTCATTTTCTCCAGATGCAGTTTTAGTCCCTTTTTCTCTCATTCAGCCCATTACTGGCTATAGGCAGGCAACTCTGCAGAGAAATAATAATAATAAAGTTGGAAGGGACCTTGGAGGTCATCGAGTCCAACCCCCTGGACTCGAGTGTCATCAGCATACTAATGTCACTTAGCTCCAAATCTTTGGTATAATAACCCTTAGCAGGTTCATGTAGATGTTGATAAGCCTTGGAGACCAAATAGAATCCCAAGAGCTCCCATTTGCTTTAACAACTGCAGTGCTTCCATAGGCGGTCAGTGCTTTCATCAGAATGCTGAGAATAGCCTCACGCTGGAAGCTGCTTCCCTTTTAGGAGTGGATGCAATGTCCCACTGCATATAGAAAAGGAAGATCTTGCCCATGACTCAGCTTGCAATCTCTGACCCTCTCTTAAAGGACAGACAACTCTGAGCAACTCTGTTCAAGTAGCAGCACCCAAACTCTGTCCGGGGTAGAGATGGAGCCTTTGTTGACCTGTGGCTCCTATTTCTTAAATCTCAGTGATCTAGTCCAGTGATGGCGAACCTTTTAGAGACCGAGTGCCCAAACTGCAACCCAAAACCCACTTGTGCATCGTCGAGTGCCGGGTGGGTGTGGCCAATTGGGTGGGTGTGGCCCATTGGGTGGGCATGGCTGCGGTGGTAACGGCAGACTGGGTGGGACTAAAAAGTTCAATCAATCAATTCCAACTTTGCAAGATCTTTTTTTTCCCCGCGAGAAGTTGAAATTGACTGATTAAACTTTCTTTTTCCTTTTTGCACACAGCGGCGAAGGCCTAAACCGAAAAGGTTTTATAAAACCCAGCTGAAGGCCTAGGACTGGGGCGACGGCACGCGTGCCCACAGAGAGGGCTCTGTGTGCCGCCTCTGGCACCCGTGCCATAGGTTTGCCACCACTTATCTAGTCTATCAAAATTGATAGTATCTATAGTCAAATAGAGAGCACAAAGAATCCACACCCTCTGTTGTTGCCCAAACAAAGATCATCAGGCCAGCCAATCCATAGCCTGCCCTGAAGCCAGTTTGAAATGCGTCATTATTTTATTGGATTTTATTTATCACATTATTATATTGCCATAAACAGAAAAACTTTTGGCAGTGTCATTAGAATAATCTGCTTCTTCCATGACTGGCTACAACTGATAAGACAGCAGTCTCTCAATCCCTTTACCAACCATGATAGATTAGATACTAGCTTTTAATTGCCTGTCTTCTTACGGGGAAAGCTGCTTAACAAATGATCTAGTTCTAGTAACTATCTTTTTTAAAATAAAGAGGCATCTGGCTTTCTCTTAGAAAGGCATGCATAATTTTAAGTAACATGTAATTACTAATATCATCTGGGTTAGAAGTTGGAAGTCAGGTTGTGCAAGGGTACAAAAAATATTGTTGCAACATCCTCTTATATTGCAAATCGAAGTTGATCCAGTTCAACTCTAGAGAAGGCACCCTCACAGATAACTCTCTATTAAAAAATACGGCATTCAGATAGCCTCAAATGAAAAATAACGTATTTGTAAAAACAACCCTAATTTAAAGTCTCTCTGAAGTTTCTGTAGTAGAACTGTGGGAGAAGGGAGGAGAACTCAGACCAAGTTGATTGGTAGATGCAATATATGTGGGGACAGAAGGGGAAGCGTCTTTGCTTTTTTTTCCCTCTGTATTTTGGATCACTGCAGCTTTTGCAAATCATTTTTAATATGCTTTTTTAACTTTTTCATTAATATGCATAATTTATAAACTTTTACCTAAGAAGGAAAAAGATTAGAGCAATGGCTGGGGAATTCTGGGAGTTGAAGTCCATATGCTCGAGAAACACTGGATGCGAGAGAAAGTTGAAACTGAAAGTAATTGATAACATAGGGGTAATTGATAACATAGGGGTAAAAGAGAGAACTAATTATTAAGAAGACTGTATTAAATACTGTAATACACAGAAATGCAGATTTTGAAGGATAATTCGTGTTTGTTTTATTAATTGATTCAGAATTATTTTTAAAATGCTATACATTTGCATTCAATTATAAGCTACTGTAAATAATTTTATTCCCCTATCTCTGACTGTTATGGCATGCTAATAACCATGAGACCTCAGCTCCTTACAACTTCATTTTCACAGCCATCATGTGCAATTCCATCCCTTCCCTCTTCCTAACCATCTTGTTTTTACCCAAAGTGCTTTTTCAAAAGGCATCTGGACTTTCTTTGTTTTTCCTTGAAGACATTTCGCTTCTCATCCAAAAGCTTCTTCAGAAGCGAAACGTCTTCAGGGAAAATCAAAGGAAGTCCAGATGCCTTTTGAAAAAGAACCTTTGGGACAACAATGACCTGGATGACTGAGAATCTCTATAGACACCTCTACCGTTAATTTCTCACCTTTTGGTGTTGTTCCATTCTCACCCTCCCCTCTGGGATTCCATCAGACAGAATAGTCATAAACTGTTTAATGATCCCAGCTGCTTTTCTCTTCTCTCTAACACAGGCATTGGCAAGATCTTGGCTACCTGATCATCTATATTACAGGACGTCCTGACATGCAGAAGCAACGTGTTGTCTCCTGGCTGTCTCAGCACAATTTCCCTCAAGGAATGATTTTCTTCTCTGATGGTCTTGTCCACGATCCTTTAAGACAGAAAACCATTTTTCTCCGGAATCTTGTGCAAGAGGTAATAGTTAGCTGATAGCCTTCTTCCTTGACCTTTCAGGAGCATGGAATGAGGAAGTTTTGAAGTTCGTTAATTAGACAATAATTAGTTGGATCAGATTCATGGCCAGAGACAGCCATAACATGTGAGCTAAGACTCCAATAATCCATAAGTTCATAGTTCAAATTCACGATTGCTAGTGATGCAGACTGATGGCATGGGTCAATTGGGGCATTAAAAATGGGAGTGATAGGCTATGGCTGGTATCATATTTTCATGGCTAACCTTTGACATTTTTTCCCTTCCTCCAGTGCCACATCAAAATTTGTGCTGCATATGGCTCCATGAAGGACATTTCTGTGTATAATGTCCTGGGTCTTTCCCCCTCTCAGATTTACATTGTCGGACGACCAACAAAGAAATATCAGACATTGTGCCAGGTGATTTTTCTTTTTCTGGAAGTTTTAAGGGCCCTGGAAAATAAGAAGAGTCCTGGAGGCATTGTACAATTAACCTTTGTGAGATTAAATTTGTCTTCTGCAGCAGCAACAGCAAACGAGAGCACTTAGATTAGTCTTATGTGCCTGTATGCTTCATATAGAAACATACTAAAAGATATGTGTACTGTCCTTATTTATGTCTTAGAATCATAGAATTTGTGGAACTGGAAGGAATCACATGGATCATCTCGTCCAGTGTTTCTCCAGACTGGTTGGGAAATTCTGGAAGTTAAAGTCCATACATTTTTAAATTGCTGAGGTTGAGAAACACCGATTTACTCCTACCCTCTGTGGTATACAAGGAAACTATGAAACCGTTCTTGAAAGATGGGTGTTTCTTAAAAACCTCCAAAGAATTCCAAAGCTTCATAAGTAGAAAGTTGCACTGTTGAACAGATAAGGAAGATTATCTTTTATTTAAATAATGTAGCCCAGGGGAAGGCAACCTTGGCTCTTTTATGACTCATGGACTTCAACTCCCAGAGAGTTGAAGTCCATGAGTCATAAAAGAGCCAAGGTTGCCTACCCCTGATGTAGCCTATCTGCTTCCCAATGGCTTCTAACTTATTCTGTTGTGCACTCTAAATATGACTTTGGTTATACCTACTAATGTTTGCTGATTTCAGGATCCTGCATTTTAAATAGATTAGCAGTCAGTTAGATCAATTGACCAACTCTAATAGTTACGCATTTTCAGTGTATAAACAGAATCAAGTAGTCTATCGGGTTTCCCTATTTTCTTCTAGCTAATCCAGAACTAGCTTAATGTTTCTTGCCTACCCACCCATTCCACTGTGGAGGCTGTCAAATCCCTGCATTCTGTGCATTTCTTACTACAAATGTAAACAAACATTACCTTTCACCGGAGAATCCAGTTTCCTGGCCAGTTACTTGGCACAAATTGTGTCTTAATCCTTACAGGTGGCTCCAAGGAAAGAGCCCGTTCATTGGTCTATTCTTGATTCACTTGTCCTTGGTTGGCTTTTAGTCTGGTTGGATGGTGTTTGGGGAGAAGAGCAGCAAAGCTTCTGCATTACATTACTCCCTTCCTTCATGCCATAGATCAGACATGTCAAACATAAGGCCCGGGGGCCAGATCCGGCCCGCAAAGTGGTTTCATGTGGCCTGCAAAGCCATCCTGCAAACAGTGAGGGAACGGCCCCTGCTGCCTTGGCCCTGGCCCAGGCCAGCCAGGAGCCAATGTACAATTTTGTGGTGGCCATCTATGCTGAAATACATTCAGTCTTAGCTCCACAAGGCCATCTAGAAATAGTGAGGAACCAGCCCCTGCCGTGTCGGCCCCGCCCCCTGGGTGCATACTGGGGAGGTGTCACCCTTTGTGAGGACTGAAGAAATGGACCATGCCTTGGCGCTTGCCCCGATCTCACCCGTTCTTCCAGAGACCCTCAGATCTGTCCCACTCCTGCCCAGGCCCCCACAGGCACCCTTGACGCAAACAATGCAGAGCTGGCCATGCCCACCCAGTAGGCCACACCCACTCCATCCACGCCCACCCAGTAGGCCGCACCCACCCTGGCCACCCACCCCCCACCCCCCCAAGGGCAACCGCAATGCTGATGCGGCCCTCAATGAAATTGAGTTTGACACCCCTGCCGTAGATGATGCTAAACATTGTCATGTTTGTTCTCCTTCTCTCTTCCAGTTTATCAGCGAAGGTTATGCAGCCCACTTGGCTTCCCTGGAGTTCAGCCTCCCTTCCCGGCCTAAGAAGAACAACTCCCGCATGATTCTAAGGAAAGGCAGCTTCGGTCTTCATTCACAACCTGATTTCCTGCGCAAGAGGAATCACCTCCGGAGAACTATGTCTGTCCAACAGCCTGACCCACCATCCTTGACCCCCAAGCCAGAGCGTGCCCAAAGCCAGCCTGAGTCAGATAAAGACCACGACCGGCATCTGCCCTCCATAGTGTGGATGAGAGGGGGGGTTCATAAGTTTGAGTCTGTCCCATAGCAAGAGCTGGGATTGTACCACCAGGCCCCTGGCATCCTGCAAAGAGCTTGTAGGCATTTGCTCTTTGAGTTGCACTTGGCAGCTTCATGGTTCAAAGTGATGGAGAGGATTGGAATTCACAAAGCTCTGGCAGCTTCTGTCTCCCCAGGGGAACTCTCTGTTTGTTCCTCTTGTTTGTATCCACTCATGAAACATTGAAAGTAGAGGAAATGATTTGCCCCAACCGTAATCTCTTGCGGGAGGGTGACGCTGGACAGGCAAATGAGCTTGTGTCTTAATGTTTACTTTGTAACAAAAATGTGCAATAAAGCGGAGTGGGGAAGCTCCAGCTTATCTCAGTGAGCAAGGGCCTCACTGACAACCACATCTGTTTCTCGAAAAGGCAGCCTTCTGGTGAGGCAGCAGCAACATCTGCAGTTCTTGGGGAAAATAAGAAACAAAGGGGGGGGGGGTGCCCATAGCTGTGCACTGGGGAATCTCTTGGGTGCCTTAAGCCCAATATCTTTTCATCCAGACAGCTCTATCACTGGCTCATCACCAGAGTAGGTCTCAATTCTACGTATTTAATAGAGACATCTGTAGAGGCAACACATGAATGTGGAAACCAGTGGTGAAAAAGTTGAGCCCTAGATTCAGTGTACGATTACTATTTTTTAGATGTGACACCTATCTTCTGTTGGCCACACGATAGCATTTTTTGCTCTTTTTGCAGAAATCCTTAAGTTCTAAAAAAAAACCTAAAGAGATCACCTGCATCCTTCTGCCACCACCATCATAACCCATAACCCATCATAACTGAAGCAACCTTCACTCCTGCTGCTCACAGTGTCCTATCCTATGTGTTGAACGCACTATTGAGCTTCAGGAGACATATTTGACTGTGTCCATATTTCCAGTGCTTTAAGAGATCTGTCTGTTGCCATTTCTGAATAAAATATTTATCTCAAATGTTGAAAAGGCATCAGTTTTCCATATGGAGGGGTCCCATGTCAAAACCTGACAAATCCAGCTAGGCCTGGTAAATTCTTTAGAACTGCTGCTAGTCGATCTAGATGTAAAATGAGTTAATAGAGCAGTGAAGTAATTCAAAATAAGGGAGTTTATTTTGTTCCTATAAGGTAAGTATGTATGCATAACATACATACGCTTCAGAAGTCTCTCACCTGTTTCTCCCACCATCAGATGCAGTGTAACTATAGACAGTGCAGAGTAAATGAAACTTCCATGCAACTCTTGAGAAACAGACTGAGAACTATGTTCTGGGCCCAATCCACCTGACCTCAGTGGAAGCTGAGCAACCCCACTCAACCATAACTCTGTCACAAGAAAATACAATGGAAGAATGGCAGAGGGAACGAGTCAGAAGATGGCTAATGACATTGTACTACTAAATACTGGAGTAGAGTACAATAGCCCATATTTCATAGCAGAAATAATAAGCAAAACATGCCTGTCATCAGTTCTTAGGCTTGACCAGACAAGATAATAGCACGCAAGAATCTTACTGTGAATGGATTGAGTTTTTTTCTTTATTTGAAGTATATCAAAGATGGATGTTAGAAAGCAGATGGTCCCCACAATAATGAAAGGAGAATGAAATATGCCAAATTGCTTCATGGCTTAATTGTTGTACAATCCTGAGATTAACTATTTCCTTGCCTTTAATAATTCTGCTTCTGGTAATACAACTGTACCTTTCTTAAGCTGCAGCTACAAAATTCCTCAGAGAGTTAATCAAGGGCTTTGTTAAAAATTTAGTTATCACTGTCTGATGGCTAATGCAATCTTGATTTTTCCTATATCTTCAAAGCCTTTTCTTCCTATGGGCATTTGCACCAGTTGCATTATTCTCCTTGCATAAAAATTTCTGTGGCAACTGCTCTTCACAGATTTTGAATCACTCTGGAATATACATCTGTTTGGCAGTTGAAGACTGCTTAGTTCCATCTATATCTGATAACCTGTACTGTTAGACTCCAACCGTATTAAGTTCTTATCAGCCTCTTAGCCTACTTTGGCTTCTCTTCCCCACGGGACACGATCTTTTTAAAACTATCTGCTTCCTCAGTTCTTCCCAGACTCAGGTTGTCAGCTTGAAGTACAGATATCTGAGTAATTATATGAGAGGATGACAGTCAGTGATTAACTTCTCCATTCTATCATAATGTCATGTCATCATGAACAGGGTGGACATTTTTAACCTTTTCAGATTTAGGTTCATTCTGAGCTCATCAGATCATTTAATAACATTCCTTGCTTCTTCAGATGTTCAAATGGTCTCTTCCTTATTCTGCCATCTGCAAATAGTTACCCATTAGTTCTCCAAGACATTATCCATAAATTTGAAACTGCTTTCTGATTGAGTGCACTGTTTAACCTTCACAATTTTGACAACATGGGAGCATAATTCTACTGTCTCTAGCCAAGTGTGCATCACATTGGTTTATTTATCTATCAAATGCTGAACAGCAAAGATGACAAGAGAAAAGAAGCAGGCAATGTAATTAAAACACCAACCCTCCAGGTTGTTGACTTTGACTGATTTTTGAGTATAGAAAGGGCAGGTGTTCTCTGCTTCTCTTATCTCACCACACCATTCCAAAGCTTTGAATCTTACCACGCTGCTCCTTCTTTTTATCTTTTGCTCCCCTTCATATAAAGAATGCCTCTTTAATCGTTCTTTTTATTGTCTTTTTTCTGTTCTTGGTAGTAGTAGCATCTCTGCCAGAATTGTTAGATTCATACAATATATAGTTTTGATTGCTTATGCTGTATATCATCAAGTTGGTAGGTAAGCCTAAAATGGGTGATCTGTGATCCAGGCCTTTGTAAGAATTCACCTGTTAGTTTAACAAGTGGTGGGAATTTGACCATAATGTTAACATGGCTTTCTTTCATAATAATGCCCAAGGTAATCCAACTGCATTTAGTGTTTTTAGTGAACCCAGTCAATAATTAGCATCCCTTAGTCAATCAGATGGCATGAGTTTAAAAACCAAATTAGATGTAATCTACTGAGTAAGTTTGCTATTTTTTTAAAAAAAAGATAGACATAGACTGTCTTCTCCAAGCAGTTGGGGATGCATCTTGGGAAATAGAGAGGCACTCACCCTTTGTCTGCTTATTAGTCCAGACCCCTGGATTAATATAAATGCTTCTACACAAGTCATGTCAAATCTAGTTAATTAAACAAGGTTGAGGAAGAATTCCCAATCATATTTTGCAAAAGTACATCAGTCAGCAAAATGGGTGACATTATTGAGAGATTCTGCTATTACCTGAAGAAAAATAGAGAGTCTCCAGGGTGTTGTAGCAGAGTCCTTTATACCAGGTAATGCAGAGTTAAACACATCAGCTTTAGCTCATGATTATAGTAAGGAACTATATCCACCAAATTGTATGCTTGAATGCGGTGTAGTCCCCCATGCTTGTAGGAATGGGACAGCATAATTGCATCTTGATATGTGGCAAATCCATAAAGTGTGCAAATAAGGTTGTAACTGAATTTAAATATAACGTGGTTTTGTACAGTCAGATCTATTGGCACCTGAGAGATTTTAGCAAAACAAATTTGTTGATATTCTTCAAGTACTGTTTATTTAAAAATACACTCCTCTCTTATTCATTGCAGACTCTCACATTTAATAATGCTTCTCCTTCCACTGACTTAATTATTGCCTCAGGAGGTACTTCCAGGCTATTTATGTGGTTCAGTGTAAGCCTTGCTGTCCAAAAGTGGGACAAACAAGAATGTTCAGACATGACAATTTAGGGATCTCTATCAAAGAGCTCCCCCTCGTCTCATTTTAGGCCTGAAGCTTTAAGACATGGAAATGCTGGCACTACATAAAACCAAGAATGTATTGTGTTGGCTGATATTTTCCATTCCTATGTAGGCTGCACCCACATCCTGTTACTTTTCTCTGTAGTTTTATAGGAGATTACCATGTTCTTCTGATACTTCTGAATTCATCCTGAAAAATGGAAGACTTGAAAAAGCAACTAGACAACATAGATATGAAAGGTTGCTTAAACAAGGTTGTGTTATGTTTTGTCGGAAGCAAATAGGATCAATGCATTCAGAATGGAAATTTGTAGGAAAACTGAAGATTTGGACAGTTCTGAAACAGTACAATAAAAAGGAAGGAACACTTGTGGACTATCTTGGAATAGCAGTCTTGGTATTGGGATAAATGGATGTTTGAACATACTTGGGTATTAGGACTGATCCTAAGTTACATCACTTTATGGGTTTTGAATTCAATCTGTGATAAACGATCTGTTGGATTCCCTAAAGTTACTTCCATCTACCAGTATGTCTCTTTCTGAAAATAAATAGAAAGGAGTATCCCTTTCTCCCCATCCAGGACTGGGACAACCTTAACATTCTTAAATGCCTTGTTAACAGTTCCCTTTATGCTGCTCCCTCCTCCTATTTAAAAACTTGTTCTTTTTTTAAAAAAAAACCCCAGTGAATAACAATGGTGGCTTGTTAAAATGTGTGTTGTTATGAGATGACATGTATATGGTTGTGCTGTGTGTGCATGTACACTGTGTTTCACATCAGTGCCATTGATAACTTTGTATAGCAGAAGTTAACTTTTATATTACTTGTTTTGTTCAAGGATTGGCTGTTCTGTTGTAGCATTGTGAAAAGACCTTTGACTCTGTTCTAGGTATGAGTAGCACTGTTAATCCAAATCTGAGCTTTCACATTTAAGTAGCACTAAAGGAAATGTTGGGTTGGAAGCCTCTGCTGATACTGAGAGGTGATCACTTTTGCTTGACCCAAATATTCTGTGGTGTGTCTTTTTTCTGAAGTAGTCTTTGAGTCCACTTGAATGTTCAAAGATAGACGTATCTTCTCATTCATTGGCATTTACAGATCATTTCCTATTTTTATGACCTCACTAGGTGGAAAACCACATCATCCATCGCATCATTTGAGTGCAGCGTCTTCTGTGTTGCACCAAGGTGGGGAGGCAGGGAAAAGAAGAATA